AAGCTTTCGTGACTGCAAGGATTCATCTTCTTTGGTTCTTTCGGTAAAGTCACGTAGAATGAGAATAAAATAATAAAATGACACAATAAAATTCTCACGACGTTTCGGCCACAACACAAGTGGCCTTCTTCAGGTGAAGGGACTGGACTGTCCAGAGGACAGCGTTGGAGTGAAGACAGCCAGGCCCAGGCCGCGTCCTTTAAGCTGTGTGGGAGGAAACAACAAAACGCCTTGACAAAGGAATTAGCATAACAATCATGTACTGGACCGGCACGGTGGGGGTGGGGGGGTAAGGAGTTTACATAATGTTGGTGTGAAGGGAAATAAGTGGCGGTGAAAGTTTGGGATACCTCTACTTGAAAAAATATACTGTACCATTGAAAATTAGTTTAATGTTTGGTTTGATTTAGCTATCCGTGGTGCCAAAGCTGAGGGTAAGAATCCACCCATTTTTTCGCCATATAGCATTGTGATATATAACGACTTATTGTTGGTAGCTTAGCTGATTGGAGCAAATATAGAGTTTATTGATAACATTGAGGTAGTTTATATTTTAGTTTTATTGGTTTACTATATGGTATTCATTATATAGTGTAGTGTATACCCAGTTACTGTTAATAGCTGTTACATAGCTGTTACAACACTGTGGGTGATCACGATATAGTTTTCTCCGATACCAAGGTTCTCTGCAAACACACGGGTTTTTTTTTTATCAGAGATTTGTCCACGAGGCAATTCAGATTTACAAACACAGACACAATTTCAACCGAGAGGATGGTTTCAAATTAAGCATTCATTGGAAAGATGTTCTAAATCAAACCAAACATTAAACTAATTTTCAATGGTACAGTATATTTTTTCAAGTAGAGGTATCCCAAACTTTCACAGCCACTTATTTCCCTTCACACCAACATTATGTAAACTCCTTCCCCCCCCCCCCCACCGTGCTGGTCCAGTACATCATTTTATGCTAATTCCTTTGTCAAGGCGTTTTGTTTCCTCCCACACAGCTTAAAGGACGCGACCTGGGCTTGCTGTCTTCACTCCAACGCTGTCCTCTGGACAGTCCAGTCCCTTCACCTGATGAAGGCCACTTGTGTTGTGGCCGAAACGTCGCGAGAATTTTATTGTGTTATTTTATTTTATTATTTTATTCTCATTCTACGTGACTTTACCGAAAGAACCAAAGAAGATCAAAAACAGGTGTCAGTTTTTGTGCCAGATAAAAGGGTAAAAACCTATTACTATATCTTGTTACTGGCAAAGGAGGTCTCATAATATAAGTGCTTACCCCGAGCTCTCAATACTCTGATAGTGCGCTGTTTTTGAGTTGTACGCCTTTTGGCGTCTTCTGGTCCAACACCAATGGAGAGACTAAAGGGGCTCTAAGAAAAGCCGTCTCGGGTGTGGACCAATCAAATTCAAGGACAGTGCATATTATTATCAGAGTTGTCTTTTTTTTTGCATTTTGACTACTTGTGTTGTGGCTATTGCAAACATGATCCCTTGTATAAAGGTGTCAGTTTTTGTGCCAGATAAAAGGGTAAAAACCTATTACTATATCTTGTTACTGGCAAAGGAGGTCTCATAATGTAATTGTTTATTATTATTTGAATCTGCTTGGCAGTAGGGGTTTTTCTTTTGCTTGACAGTGGCTATACATATTCTTAGTTTTTTCGGTAAAGTCACGTTGAAGAGAAACAACAAAATAACAAAATATATATAATATATATATGGCTATACAGTATATGGGATTTAGTCCTTACATAATTTAATGTACAGCGTTATGGGATGCTATTGGTATGAATAATTAAATTGTCTTGCAACCTTATCAATACTTGTTTTGTGCCTGTTAATGTAAATAGTGAGCAGAGCAAGATGCTCCCAAACGTTAGTACGTAAGTTAAGTTTCCTACCAGTCAACTCAGTACCACCAACACCACCACCATAATCCATTTAGGTCAGTAAAATACTACACGTACAAACACGAAACATATAACATTGTAGATATTGTAATACATTACATGTGTAGTGGTTGATTTCACTCGGACAACTTTCGTCTTTCATCCAACACCACTCTATTTACAGTTCTCCACATGTCCCCAATGCTCTACTCGACTCGCTCGCCGCCTTTGTCTCTCCACTCTCCGCTTCTGCGTCAGCTCCGATGTCTCTGTGCTTCCCCCACTGCTGGCTGCTTCGTCTCTGCTCTCCGCTATCACCGTGCTCTCTCCACTGCTAACTGCTTCGTCTCTGCTCTCCGCTATCACCATGCTCTCTCCACTGCTAACTGCTTCGTCTCTGCTCTCCGCTATCACCGTGCTCTCTCCACTGCTAACTGCTTCGTCTCTGCTCTCCGCTATCACCATGCTCTCTCCACTGCTGGCTGCTTCGTCTCTGCTCTCCGCTATCACCATGCTCTCTCCACTGCTAACTGCTTCGTCACTGCTCTCCGCTATCGCTGTGCTCTCTCCACTGCTAACTGCTTCGTCTCTGCTCTTCGCTCTCCGCTATCACCGTGCTCTCTCCACTGCTGGCTGCTTCTCTCTTCAGCTTCTCCACGTCCAGCCCCGACTCCAACTCCCGTTTCTCCTCGCGTCTCCCCCAATTTATCCCCGCTCTCATTACTCTCCAATTAACCCGCAGTCCCAACGACGCTTCGCGTGCCCGTGCACCTGTTACCTCGCCAGACTTCAAGACGCCACTCCAGCTCTGACAACCACACCAGCCAATCACACTTCAGCCCTGACAATAACACCAGCCAATGACACTTCAGCCCTGGCAACAACACCAGCCAATCACAGCCGTCCTTGGCTCCCCCCAGCTTAATTGGCCCAATCGTTACCTCATCGTCCCAACCATCGCACCTGTTTGTCCCAATATGACCCATACTGTCCTGCCCCCGCTCGATCTCACCATTTACCCTCCATGCGCCTATTTATTCCACTACACATGTGTAGTGACATCGCTGGATGTCACTACACATGTGTAGTGACACTACACATGTGTAGTGACATCGCTGGATGTCACTGTGTTGTGCCGGCCCTAGAGAGACACGGCGTGCGGTGTATTGACATCGCGGATACCACCATGGTCAGGGACGTGCAGTCAGGGGAGGCAGGGGAGGCAGAGCCCCACCTGTCATACTCCAATGAAACTAGATGTTACGAAAAAATATATAATAAAATCAATATTAAGATTTTTTCCACTGATCTGTGTTATAAATGTAATTTCCGTACGATTCCAATCATTTTTATAGTGAAAATCGCCAGATTTGCGGAGCTCCGCTGCAAATACAGCAAGAGACGAGAGGTGAGGCAACGATGAGCTCAGCCTCCCCTCTGATTGCACAACCCCTCAGTAACTGGATGGAGTGCGGGCAATAAGCGCGTGCCTGTTACTATCTCAGTATGTCACCAATGTAATGTTTGTCGACCCCTTCATTTCATGTCCTCGCCTTCCATACCCCAGGTAACGTATTTCATGTATGTGTATAAAGATATTTAGGCTCGCTGGTCTCGTCATGAAACTGCAATGAAAAAGCACCAGGGGAGGCAGCTATCACATCTGCCTCACTGAAGGGGACGTGTCTAACACGCCCCCCTCAGTGAGGCCACGCCCCCCTCAGTATGTGAATCTGGCTCTGACACTAGCCAGTGCCTCCTCAGCCATTGACCTCACCGCACGTCACTGACCATGGTGTGGGTGTAGTACCGGCCCTAGAGGGGCCCGGTTAGCGCTGGATGGCATCGCGCTTGACGTATAAGTGCGAGCCCTGCAAGAGTGTGAGAGTGCTGGCCGTGGGAAGAGGGCTAACCGGGGGCCATGGCACTCTGGTTGACCCCAGACGACACGTGACTGGTTGGGTCTACAAAGGGACCCCAAGCGGAGGCTCGGAGTGGTCACGTGGTCGGGACTCGGACCCCGCTCAGGAGTTCTGGAGGGCGGCCGTGGCCAATGGCGGAGCCAGCCACGCGCGCAGAGGATATAAGCCGGGTCCCCAGAGGGACCGGGGTTGTTGTTCATCCTGAAGAAACCTTCATCCACATTCTACGAGTCTCCAACAGGTGGACCTGGACCCGAGCTGTTGGTCCTGGTCCGGAGTAGCTAGTTACGTTGTAATTAGTGTAGTTAGCCTGGTGGTCCACCACTATAGGTTGTTATTCTGTTAAGAAGCAGTTACCCCGTGTGTTGGTGCTAAATAAATGTGTTGCCTCCAAGAGTACGTCTGCGACTCAGTTCAACCTACAACACATGCAGAGTCGTGTATTCCAGGTCATGTGTGTTTTTTTCAGAATGGAGAGGTAGGTAAGCGAATTGCAGATTCCAGGATCTGTTCTCATTACGGATGTATTCCCTTGTCAAGCGAACCAAGCCTTCTCTTCTTTCAGATTACACCCTCATTGTGTACTATCTACAGTGGTGCCAAGAGGTAACTTTGTAGACCACGTATTTTGTTGCTCTGCGCAAACAACATGTTTTGTATTGCATTGCAAAGCTATGCATGAGGTATATGATGAACATGCCAACTATCGAATTACCTCGCACGTGAGCACAATGCTCGAAGACCATTTTCTTTTCGTAATATTTCTGTTTTTTTATTCCTGCTTCGTATCAGTTCTGTCATCGGCGTCATGTGATGAGACGAAGACTCATTTATATTTCTATTGCTGGAACTGTAAGCAAACCAAGAGCTAAACCACATTTTGTGTGATGTTTTCCATTGTGCAGTCATCAATGACCAGGCTAAAACCATCACGTCGCGACACTTAAGAAGCCATTTCGCCACGCGTGGTTGCTCAGATCTTAGCAGTGCCGGCTCAGTGCTCTGAGTGAGCTACCCTGCCACCTGTTCACAGGAAATAATGTCTCAATATTGTTGGGTTCAGGACCCTTGTTCTATTTCATCTGTCAAGGCCCCTGCATATTAGTACTGGTATCTGTGTTTTAATGCAGTGGTGAATGTCAATATCCAAAAAAAATAAAAAAAAATATAATATGGAAAATATGCAACTAAGTGAGTCATGTTTAAAAAAAAAATCAGTCTTTGTGAACTATATTTTACCATTGTCACTGCTAATTAACTCAGCAAACAGCCCTAAATCACACTTAATCAAATTTGCAATAAACATATAGAATATGCACGTACAAAGTATGCAAAACACATTTTACCTAAAATAACAAGATGAGGTATAGTCAGAGCCTGACTAAATAATAATGAGATGTCATTAAATTATCTTCAGAATTTGTATTTCACCACAGAAATTAGAGCAATTAAATGACACTTAATGTTTATCAGTCTAAAATGTATATTTGATATTGTTGAGACCCACTGTGTTAATAAGCCTGTTTCAAGGTTTGCATTTCTGCAGCATCAAACTTTTTTTTACCAAAAATGGTGACACCCCACATTATTTGAAGACTCCAAGGTAATATAATTTGCAAACACAACCACACCCAGTGGGACTCAGCCGACTGGTTTTGCGGTTGAACAGTTCGTTTCACAGTACATTTCCAGAGCACAATTAATTCGCTGAGAGCTGACGTCCCTCCCCATCACAAAGCCTGACGCGACCGCATGTTGTGCAGATCAGAGGCACCCACCCATTCACATACACGCAGTGCATCGGCCGCATTGCATCGGCAAAGGATCCCGAGACCCGGTCAGCACCATGGCCGAGAAGACTCTCTGGTTGCTTCTCAACCGTCCGAAGAAGACGACCAAGCCTGCGGAGGAGGCAAAGAATGGGGACGACATCCCCAAGAAGCTGGAAAACCTGGCAACGGAGCGCTCTACGGCACAGAGCGTAGGCCTGCGTGTCGTCTACATTGAGGACATAGTCATGTCATTGGAGGGAGGGGTCCTGGGTAAGTCAATGCACTGCTTTTTATGTAGGGTCACCGTATGGCCTGGTTTTCCCAGGATCATCTTTTTGAGGTAGCTGTCCTGGGGAATCTGCAATTGTTGGAGGACATTAAAGGTCCCGGTTTATATCAGTTGTGGGTGCCATGGTGTTGAGATGTTAACTCTCTCTCTCTCTTGGTATACAGGTGGTCGTGGGTTCGATCCCAACCCTGACGCCTATATATTTGGAGTTTGCATGTTCTCCCCGTGGTCACGTAGTTTTTTTCTCATGGTTCTCCGGCTTTTCCCCTCCAGATTTAGAAATATGCATTAGTATTTGGCTGCAATAAATTTCCACATGATAAGCCACTTCGTTGAGCTATCATTTGAGGTCATGTCGCTTCTGAAAAAGAGCTATATCGTTCAGTGGGCCTTACCTGGTAAAATAAAATATAAAAAATGGTTTAGTTTAAGTAATACATCACTCAAGAAATTATCATGCCGTTTCTCCCTCTTCTGGTATTGTGAGATATTCTTCTTCCCATGATATGTGCCAGTTTATTGTACCATTAAGGGGGTCATGTCATGTGATTGTGCTGCACGTTCATCTTGTTTCCATTTTGCCTGGAGTTTGAATACATCTTGGGGGTTTTCGTCATGTGCAAAGATCCAGGGCGTTTCTTCATTAATAATGGTGGTGGTACCATTGTAAACCAGGCCGTGCCTTTTGCATTTGTCCACAAAATAACTAGTGGTTAAATTTCGATTTAAAGCTTTCGTGACTGCAAGGATTCATCTTCTTTGGTTCTTTCGGTAAAGTCACGTAGAATGAGAATAAAATAATAAATTAATAAAAGTAATAAATAAAAATAAATAAAATAATACTAAGGCAGCGAGAAATATCCGGATATACTCTACATATATTTATTTAATTTGATATTGTATGTAACAATGGAAACCAAATATTTATAAAGTGATACATGACTGTTTAAGGCTTCAATAACATATTTATTTTTAACTGTGCTGCAGAGAATGCTATGTTGAAACATGTTAAATATATACAATAAACCATGGTGACTGATTGAACAGTAAAATAGCTAATTCAATTGCAATAATTATATTAACATTGTAATACAGTACATACTTATTTTATGGCAGATAATATTTTAGTATTTGACCAAGTGTTTTCCTATATCTTGATATATACATTTTGCAGCTAAAATGATTCTGGATTACCATTAATAATGTACAGCCCTGAGTCAATACCCAAGTTGGAGAAGACATTCCCATATAATAAGTAATGGGGTTGTTTGACCATACTTCACCACGCAGGTCAGTATGGGTTGATGAAGGTGGTAGCAAAGCATCTGTTGAGATATCACTTGACATTGATGTTAGTCATGGCTGGGAATCGATTTCAGGTCACTGGGTTCAGAATAAAGTGTGCTAACTACTGTGTCACCGCTCTCCCCCAGTGTATATATATACTTTAGGCCTTCATCCAACAATAGACAGATCATCAACATATCACTGAAGGAATGATTGTCAGTATTTCAACTGACATTCAATTGCAATCAATTACTCTATTTCAACATGTTTTCAAATGCGTGAATGGTCCTTAAGGCAGATACAAACTATTCATCCGTATTGAATGCCATTAGGGACTACATCAGACTGTTGGTGTGATCTGCGGGGTTACAAGACATAACTGCCACATTTTAAGACGATTAAACCCTTTGCAAAAGGCAGGCAGCAACCTTCATTGATGTAGACTATTGCAGATAAATTGACTGGCTTTAGATGTGCCCCGCGTGTAAAGTGTTTTAAAGGTGCGATGTAATAATGGCATGTTGTGACCCTGCAGCCATAATCACTGTATGATCGTTTCCTCCCCCCCCCCACCCCCCCCCAAGAAAAATCTGTTCTACAGTTCATCTTTCTCGAAAGGATTAAATAAAAAAATGTGTAAAAATAACATAAGACAAATGCATAAAGGTTACACAAACCTTAACACATCCAGCTGGCAGCCGAGTTATTTGTCTCGGAGAGCTCAGGCACATATCAGCTTGTTAAGCTAACATTCACTACAATGAGAGAAAATATGATTTTTTTAAGTATGAAAAAAAGAATAGGTTTTATCCGACACCAAAGACAGCCTTCTTTAGAGCCAAGTCTCACCAGTGTCACACCAGAGATATTCAAAAGGCAAACAGTATGGAGACAATGCACTTATAGTTCGGGGTGAGCCGCAACAAAATTGGACCTTTTTACCAGTACCAAAATATGAAAAAAATAATAGATTTTACTCTTTCTGGTAATAAAACAGGTGTTAAGATGTTCAAACACCAAATTGCTACCTTTGACAAGGAATCAAGTCTGTATTAACCACACGTACTTGTTGTGAACATGCAAACAAACACGCTCTGATAATTATATATGCATTGGCTTTGAAACCGATTGGCCTACACGAGAGACAGCCTTCTCTAGGGCCTCGTCTCACCAGTGTCAGACCAGAGAACGCCAAAAGGCGGACAGTACAAAGACAATGCACGTGTCACAGTATTTATAACTCGAGGTGAGGAGTTATAACACAAGGTCCAATGATATCAGTTTATTAAGATAACATTAATTACAATGAGACAAAACCTTATTTTTAAGTTGCAATGCAGGCAGTTAACAAATATCAGGCTGCTGCATGTAAAAATATAGCTGCTACAAATCACTTGAGCATGCCTCAAGTCGACTCGTACGAGAACACAATTCGGAGGAATTGGGGGCACACAATGCAATGGTATAGTCATTATAATGTTGCGTAGTTATATTTATTTTGTAGGTCAGATTTTAAATATTACATTTCCATTTTTTTCCATATTTTTGTCAGTTTTAGCTATGTTACACGGACATCACCCGCGTATTGCCAGGACATGTTCTTTGTTTTATTAATATTGTAATCAAACGTTTTATGAAAAAAGACCATGTCGAATTTCTGCATAAACATTCTACCTTATTTTTCGAAGAAATAATGATGTTTTTCAATCTTTGTGCATATTACAATATCCACACAAATATCAATGACTGTATAGTATATTCTTATTCTTGGTTCTTTCGGAAGGGAAATAATAAAATTATAAAAAATAAAACATAATAAATAGTATATTCTTATTCTTGGTTCTTTCGGTAAAGTCACGTAGAAGGGAAATAATAAAAATAAAACATAATAAGTAATATATTCTTACATTTTGATTTAAAGCTTTTGTGACTGCAGTAATTCATATTCTTAGCTCTTTCGGAAAAGTCACGACCATAACGTCGTGAGAATTTTTATTGTTTTATATATATTTTATTATTTTATTATTTCCCTTCAACGTGACTTTACCGAAAGAGCTAAGAATATAGTATATCCTTATTCTTGGTTCTTTCGGTAAAGTCACGTAGAAGGGAAAAATAAATTAAAACATAACAAATAGTTTATTCAAGATTGTATGCTGTCATGAAGTAAACGTTAGCACACGAGACTTGCAATCCAGAGGGTACCGATTTGCTTTCCCAGCATGGCATTTCAAACAATGGGCAAAATAAATGCAGTATAAATGGTTACACCACAATTGTATGCATGTATTTTTAACTTCTTTCGCACTGTACGTAGCCATACCTGCTAATCCGAGGTGCGGTGGAAGTACAATGAAGTGCATTTGGTGGCGTGAAGTGTGGGTAACAACCACCTTAGACATATAACCAGGATAAAATAGCAGTACAACCGCGCTCGAAAGCATCGGTTCCCAACCTTTTCAAGTGTACGGATCCCTTTTCAAGCTCCAAACATTTAGCGGAGCACCGCTCGCTAATAGTGATTTGAAATTGTGCATTTCCTTGGTTGGGAACCGCTGTTCTAGAGTGTCTCTTTAGACTTCTCCCTGGTAGAGGCATTACTGCCAACAGTGCCATGAGCAAGTAATTGCAGGGCTGCACCTTGAGCTTTTTTATTCAAGAGCATCACATTACCATTAAAGCTTGGTGTAAAATTTATTCAGTTAACTGAATGAGTTTTTTTTAAATATATCATAAGAAGACTTGCAAAAGATTGTTTTCATATTTTTGCTCGACTATCAAGTTATGAGGAAATAAGACAAAGCTATGCATATGACTACGTTAATGAGATTTAATTGTAATTATGGAATATAACAGATAATTGAGCTCAAATGTATGCTTATAGCAATTAACAAAGGGGTAATCAACATTCAGAAAAATTAGGTGTCTTTTTTCCCAACTAATTTTACCGTACGTTACCAAACGATTTATTTATTTGACCTTAATTCACCACGCCGCCCTGTGGGAACATGAGGAGGAGGCCCTTTTACGTCAGTGGACTGACAAAGAGATGTATTATTAGTTTATGTTCATCAGCGATGCCAATAAGTCGGAACATTTACCATAACATTGACAACACAGGACCGTGGCATCAATATTTAAGCATGCAAACTGTTTGGTAAAGCTCTATGGCATTGTTAATAGTAAGTGGAATTTGAACAGCCTAACCATTGCAGTCCACAATTGTGGTGGCATACCCTGTGAATAAGTTATTCTGGGTGTGTGTGTGGGGTTGCTGTCGACTCTGCCTCAAATGAGTACCTGGTGCAGTGTGTAGTAAACATCGCCACTCGGGAGACAAAGGCGGCCGTGCGTGGTGTTGGCCACCCACCCCCTCGTGTGTCGTCCCGGCTTTCATAGGTGCTTCTCGATAACAGCACTTGCCCCAACTGTCTGTTAACGCTATACGGTGGGGGGGGGGGGGTTGGGGGTCTTTGTCTGACGCTGTCTCAAACAGGCATGTACGTGACGAAAGAGAAGGTGAGCGAGTACCCTACAGCTGTGCTCGTACAGGCAGATGCAGGCCGGGCAGGTGGGGACACGGAGAAGCTTCACACCCTGCTGTGCCACTTGGAGAGGATGGGCAGCCGCCTCTTCAACCGCAGCCAGGCCCTCGCTTCCTGCCGCAACACATTCCGCACGTACCAGGAGCTGTCCGGGCACGAGCTGCCACTGCTCGACACCTTCCTATGCGGTATGCGGCGGCAGTGCCACGTGGCTTATCAGGCACAGACCTCGTAGGAGTTTATAGAAGCCACAGTCTAATTGGTACATCCGTCATCTATTTAATGATTTAGTTTCTTGTCCTGTCGTACACCTGTCCATTCACCTATACATACATTCATTCATTTGTAGGGCTATCTACATATCAATATAAATAGATCCATATTTATAACTCCATTCATCTGCCTGAATATAATCTATCCGTCAAGCTACAAGTTATGAATGTATTCTGGATCGCTGGTAAACTGGATTAGGCATGTGATTAGTAGTCACAGTTATAGCGAGAGGTATGGTGAATGCGGTGTGCCAAGCATCGACATTTTCTACGTTACTGACCCAGACATACCCAGAGATACCCGGTTGAAATGAAGCTCTGCTGGTATCCATTAATTTCACTTGTTACATGCCCATCTCTCCTTTAACCATGAGCCCTGCCAGCATAATTATCATACAAAGGTAATCTGGTGGAAAAACCTGAGTTAAAAACACGTCTCTGATGGTTTTGGTTTTAAACACAACCAGTGTTTGAAAAATACAATTCTCTAACTACACCGATTATATATATTTAAAAATCCGAATATTCCGCAATAAGTATAAATGTGCAATAACAATATAAGAATGCATTGTTACAAGCCTTTCAGATTTTTTTGTACACCTGCATATGGCATCATATTTTTTTAAAGCTTAAAAAATGCTCCTACAGTATTGAGTTGAAGGTCTAGCATGACGGGTGGATGATTGGTTTTAAAATATTATTTCATTAATGGTCCAGCAAAGGGGCTGTGATATTTTGAGCCATAGGTGTGACTCTTGTGATCTGTGTCATTAGAGCTGGGTGGAGACCCCCAACAGAGCTTCCGGGCCATGGCTCAGGAGGGAGAAAAACTGGAATACCCTATCCTCCTGCGAGAAAGCAAGGGTAAGCATAAAAAAGGCATTGCCACAGATTCACTTCACATGGCTAGACTGCACGAACTCAAGTGAAAATCCCATAATCGATTGTAGACATAGAGATTGAAGTAAATGAGAGTTTTATTCATAATGAAGGTTGTTTGGGTTAGATCGGGTAAATATAAATGTCTCGTTAACCCACCACCACCCGACACAGCCAATGAGTAAGGTTTGTCACGTAAACAAAACGTGCCAGTTAGTTACTACTAACTGTTGGAGAGTAAAGCCACAACAAGATTTACAATTTGATTACCCTGACGTTTCGCTGGTAATTAATTACAACCAGCTTCATCAGGAGATTTTGCGATCTAAGCCCAATTTTTTTTTAATTATGAATCAATATCGGTTGCGAAAGCCTCCGTGTTAGATTGAGAGTGTTATCATTCACCAGTCAATACTTAACCATGGGCATTGCCACCATTTTACAAGTTGAGGGCTAAATAACCTCACAACGGCGGGGGGCGTAGGAGGCATGAGTGGCAAGGAGATTGGCTGAGGTTAAGGATGCAGATCTTACGGAGAGACAACGCAGCATTCGCGTGGAGATGCTGTGGCTCGTTGCACACGACACGAGGTGGCCCCATATATCATGTGCAAAGGTCACGGCTTCACACCCATGCTGAGAGCGATGCCGTTTGTTATGTTCGCCATCTATGGTGCACATTTGATATATTCCTGGTATAAACTAGGTGTAAATAGCAAATACTTTCATTGTTAACATTTCGTCAATTGGCTCCTACTTCCAGTTCACAGTGATTTTCATTCGGTGGGGTTGGGGGGCAAGTCTATTGTTTGCACCACCATTCTGCCACGTTTGGGGCTTTTCAACCCCCATGCCCCCCCCCCCCGTGGTGCTGCGTATTGTATAAGCTTGGCAACAAACCTAGCAACCCTACCTGACGTGTAAATGCTATAAGCCCACATAGCCTGGTTTTAACTGTCTTGCATCCTCAAACAAAAGTTGATAGCATTTTTAAAGGGCCTTTCGTAGCGTATTTAGTGCTGTATTTAGGCGGCGTTTCAGAAAACAGCAGTCATTTAAACCGAGGCTTAGGAACGAAATCTCTCGAATCGTCCCCTGTGCACAAAGACTCGCCTTGGAAAAACAATGACTGAGAGAGGCAGAGAGGGGGAGCCTTTTCGACCTGACTGCTGCAAGCTGAACGCAGAGGCTTGTTAGGGTTAGGAGACACTCCCAAGATAAGTTTGATTTTATAATTCATCCTTCTAAATAAGCCTCTCCAACTGGAGATTTAGGATACTCTAAATGTGACAGTGGCTATTTTGGAGACACATTAGCTAACAGTGGAAGATTACGGTGTTGAAGAATTTCTGATAAAGGGTGCTTAAAAGCTAAATATGAAGATTTTAAGGCAGTCTAACTCATTTTTAATTGATTATACGCCACCTGTGACCGTTGGTATTCTTTACTGTCATTTTTTTCTATTTATCATTGCCAAAAGGGGCAAACGGGTTTTTTGTTGTTGTTGATGCGTGGCCTGTGTTGTGATGGTGTGATGGCGTGTTTGTAAATGGTACTCGCAGGGCAGGAGGTATTCTTTGCCCGGGAAAAGAAATTCCTGCACAGTCGCACGTACTTGCTGCGGCGTGAGCAACCCTACATGTTCCAGCGCTACGTGAAAGGGGGCGGCAACATGGAGGCGCTGGTGTTGGTGGTGGGCAGCAAGGTGGCTGGGGCCCAACTCAGATGCTGCAAAGGCCTGGAAGCAGAAGGAACCCCGGGCGAGGGTAAACCCTGAATGTATTTTTCCTGATTATAAGACGCGCTGGTTTTTTTTCTCTCTCCATGTAATTTAAAGTAAAAGGAGGAGCGTCTTATAATCCAGAGAATACGTTTCTCCCGGAGGACGTGTTTTAATGCAGTTGTTTAGCATCATCTTTCTAATAGATGGTTCTCTAGAACAGTATATGATCATCCAGAGGGCAGAAGATACCACCAGCTGTTCAGAATAATTATCCAGAAGACGGCTCTAAACCATTTTAAAGCCATGTATTTATCATCCTTATGAAAGATGGCTATCCATAGGACCTTATTCTCCCTATTAAAAGATACACTTTTTCTTTCTCAAATTGACGTCCAAAGTTTGAGATGTGCCTTACTTTCTAGGGGGCATTATAATCCAGAGAATGCGGTAATTGTATGCATACAAGGAACAACGTCTAAGTGGTTTCCCGCTCTACCGAGCAAGGGGAGATTCTCAACTCCCGTTTACAGTCCTAAGCCAGTGCTGAAAATTCCTAATTTCTATGGTCTGGATGAGGTTTTTTTCAATGGACAACCACTGTCGATGTCCACCACAAAGTGGTACTCACTTTATTTACTTCAGAGGGAAGAGGGGCTGAGTCAACCCCCAAGGTGGAATTAAAATCACAACCTTGCTATTGCAAGGCACGGACTCCAGCGCTGCACTAGCAGGCTCATTCACATATAAACTGTTTTAAATTTTGACTTCAAACTTTCGTGACTGCAGGAATTCATATTCTTTGGGTCTTTCGGTAAAGCCACGTAGATAGAAAAATTATAATAAATAACAGGTCCCTGCAGGGTGGGCTGGTAGGACAAGTCTCTGCGCTGTCTATTGCTGATTTTACACCCAACAGCACGAGATTTCACTTCGTTAAAGTATTGAAAGGGGACGGACGGACGGACACATTAATCTATTGCAGGCTGGTACACTCAGTTTACAACTTCGTTCCTACCAGTAAAGTTCACGACGTTTCGATTGCAACACAAGCAATCGTCATCAGGTGAAAAAATATAGTGGGAGAGCTGCTGCTGAGGCAGGGTGTTATATAGGTTTGAGATGGGCATAGCCCTCTGATCTTACATTTACACGCAAATTCCATCTCTAGCCCCGCCCCCTTACCCTTGGGCTACACCCATCTTAAGCCACGCCTACCTACCCTTGGGCTACACCCATCTCAAACCTATATAACATCCTGCTTCAGCAGCTCTCTCGCTATATTTTTCACCTGATGACAATTGCTTGTGTTGCGATCGAAACGTCGTGATTTTTTTCTATCTACGTGGCTTTACCAAAAGACTCAAAGAATATAAACCGTTTTTAATTAACATGCTTTACTAGGAGAGAGACGTAACACTGGATGACAAATCGCTCGTGTATGCTAACATTGGTGACTATGCAAAATACATGTTATATTTTCAACACATTCACCTTTTAAGTGATCAATGAGTGAACAATATAGCCATAGCCCTATTCTAAATTTAACCAAATTTCCATTGCTGCTGCTATCCATTTCCACGTTCAGGAAGTCGTACTTAAGTCAGCACCTCTGAACCCCTGAGTTTGAACACCATGGCAGTTGATCAATAATGAGTGGTGTCTTCAGTGAGAACGGGTTTTCAAGTGGTTTCCCTTTGTCACTGAAGACTGCACACTTACTAAAGACATCTATCTCCCGCTCCAGATTTAAAGTACTCAGGTCAGGCCAACAGTGATGACTAAAACAACTTTCACAGGCAGAGTACCTTCCATGAAGGTCAGGTGAAAATGCTGTTATCTTAAAACAAAGGCATGCGTTCTGTGATGTCTTCTACTCATGCTGTTCCGCACACGAGAAGTTTTGTGAAATTAAGATTTTTATTTCTGGACAGCAATTCGGTTACTAATGCCTACATAATAAGCAACTAATTCCTGTAGCATAAGATGTAAACTTACATTTAGGTAAAACCAAAATTAGATTTGTGTGTATATGCATGTGTGTATGCATGTATATGTGCATGTGTATATATGCATGTGTATATATGCATGTGTAGTAAGTTCAACTGAGTTGCAAACGTACTCTTTGGAGGCAACACATTTATTAACACCAACACACAGGGTAACTGCCCCTTAACAGAATAACAACCTATGGTGGTGACCACCAGGCTAACTACACTAATACAACGTAACTAGCTACAATGGACCGGACCACAGCTCGGGTCCAGTCCACGTGTTGGAGACTTTGCAGGACGTAGAACGTAGACGAAGGTTTCTTCAGGATGAACAACAACGCCGGTCCCTCTGGGGTACCCGGCTTATATCCTCTGTGGCGTGGCTGGCTCCGCCCTTGGCCACGACCACCTTCCAGAAACCTCGAACAGAATCTCGACCCTGACACGTGACCACCCCTAGCCCCCACTTGGGGCCCCTGTGTAGACTTAACCGGTCACGTGTCCTCTGCGGTCAACCAGAGTGCCACGGTCTATACTAACCCCATCTCCATGGCCGGGACTCCCACACCCTAACCTGTAGGAGCCGACACTGACCGCCGAGCGTGGTGCCATCCAGCGCTATCGATCAGCGCTCACCGAGCCCCTCTAGGGCCGGTACTGCACCTACACCATAGTGGTATCCGCGATGTGACTACATCGCATGCCGTGCCTGTCTAGGGCCGGCACCACACAGTGACATCCCGCGATGTCACTACATATGCATATGCATGCCCATTGTGTGTACATATACCTGTATATTTATATGAGCTTGTGTTTGTGTATCCTTGCCAAGATGACAAATCAAAGGATTGGGAGCTGAGCGCTGAAGGCAAGGAGTTGGCTCTGAAAGTGGCCAAGATCCTGCAAGTGGACATCTGTGGAGTCGTCTTGCAGTGCGGAGACAATGGATCGTTCTTCGTCACAGAAGTGAATGCCAGCATGGAACTGGGCGCACTCGGAGACATCTTCAAAGAGGATGTGGTGGGGGCTGCCCTAGACCACGTGCTGGCTTACATCAACAGCCAAAAGAGTGCTGCCTAAAAACAGCTGCCATTAACCGCAAAGCGGCAGAGCGAGGCCCCGCTTATGAATATATGGCTTATTCATGGCATGTTAATGTTCCAAATATTACATGTCACAGTAGTGGTCATTAAGTGATGTACAAGTACCTAATTATGCCATTGTAACGAAAACAATCCGAGACAGAATTTTAAATAATTACACATAACTAAATTATGACCAAAGTATTGTCTGTGTATTCCAGTACATACAATACTTTTAATATTCCATAAATTAAGCATTTTCACATTCGTTATCAATTTAATTGAGAAGCTTTTGGATAGATGACTTACATTTAAAATTGTCATGATTTTAGCTGTTCTCCAGCCAAACCAAAACTAAATATCCTAATACTACTTAAATTACATTTGAAACTTTCTGACTGATCTAACATAGCGATGCAGATATCATGGTCATGTGTTTTGCTGGATAACACATACATAGTGTATTATTCTGCAAATGTTCTCTGTTGGTTATCTCATCAACTATGTTGCCACGTATGCATTGGCCAGGTTTTCATATTGAACAGAACGCACCTTCTGTGCCAATTAAACGTTATACTTAATATGCATGTATGTTAAACTTATTTCGCACCGTACATAACCAACCTTGCTTATCGGAGGTGCGGGGGATGGACAACAAGCTAAACACAAAAACAAGTTCTAAACAAATTATTTTTCAATCTAGATTTAAAAGTGCATAGCTCCAGGGCTTCCTAATATCAGAAGGAAGAGCGTTCCAGACAGCTGCAGAAGCACATCTGAAAGCGCACGATGCAGTGACGGTCTTTGTTCAATGGCTAACCAACGGCCACTACGAGGATGACTGGAGTTCGCGTGATAGTTTATGCTCCTTTATGAGATCAGCAAGGTACAGTGAGGGAAAAAAGTATTTCATCCCCGGCTGATTTTGTACGTTTGCCCACTGACAAAGAAATTATCAGTATATAATTTAATGGTAGGTTTATTTGAACAGTGAGAGACAGAATAACAACAAAAAAATCCAGAAAAACGCATGTCAAAAATGTTATAAATTGATTTGCATTTTAATGAGGGAAATAAGTATTTGACCCCTCTGCAAAACATGACTTAGTACTTGGTGGCAAAACCCTTGTTGGCAATCGCAGAGGTCAGACGTTTCTTGTAGTTGGCCACCAGGTTTGCACACATTTCAGGAGGGATTTTGTCCCACTCCTCTTTGCAGATCTTCTCCAAGTCATTAAGGTTTCGAGGCTGACGTTTGGCAACTCGAACCTTCAGCTCCCTCCACAGATTTTCTATGGGATGAAGGTCTGGAGACTGGCTAGGCCACTCCAGGACCTTAATGTGCTTCTTCTTGAGCCACTCCTTTGTTGCCTTGGCTGTGTGTTTTGGGTCATTGTCATGCTGGAATACCCATCCACGACCCATTTTCAATGCCCTGGCTGAGGGAAGGTTCTCACCCAAGATTTGACGGTACATGGCCCCATCCATCGTCCCTTTGATGCGGTGAAGTTGTCCTGTCCCCTTAGCAGAGAAACACCCCCAAAGCATAATGTTTCCACCTCCATGTTTGACTGTGGGGATGGCGTTCTTGGGGTCATAGGCAGCATTCCTCCTCCAAACACAGCGAGTTGAGTTGATGCCAAAGAGCTCCATTTTGGTCTCATCTGACCACAACACTTCCACCCAGTTGTCCCCTGAATCATTCAGATGTTCATTGGCAAACTTCAGACAGGCATGTATATGTGCTTTCTTGAGCAGGGGGACCTTGCGGGCACTGCAGGATTTAAGTCCTTCACGGCGTAGTGTGTTACCAATTGTTTTCTTGGTGACTATGGTCCCAGCTGCCTTGAGATCATTGACAAGATCCTCCCGTGTAGTTCTGGGTTGATTCCTCACCGTTCTCATGATCATTGCAACTCCACGAGGTGAGATCTTGCATGCAGCCCCAGGCCGAGGGAGATTTACAGTTCTTTTGTGTTTCTTCCATTTGCAAATAATCGCACCAACTGTTGTCACCTTCTCACCAAGCTGCTTGACAATGGTCTTGTAGCCCATTCAGCCTTGTGTAGGTCTACAATCTTGTCCCTGACATCCTTGGAGAGCTCTTTGGTCTTGGCCATGGTGGAGAGTTTTGAATCTGATTGATTGATTGCTTCTGTAGAAAGGTGTCTTTTATACAGGTAACAAGCTGAGATTAGGAGCACTCCCTTTAAGAGTGTGATCCTAATCTCAGCTCGTTACCTGTATAAAAGACACCTGGGAGCCAGAAATCTTTTTGATTGAGAGGGGGTCAAATACGTATTTTCCCTCATTAAAATGCAAATCAATTTATAACATTTTTTACATGCGTTTTTCTGGATTTTGTTGTTGTTATTCTGTCTCTCACTGTTCAAATAAACCTACCATCAAAATTATAGACTGATCATTTCTTTGTCAGTGGGCAAACGTACAAAATCAGCAGGGGATCAAATACTTTTTTCCCTCACTGTATTGTGGTTAATTTGTGGCAAGCACTTTACGTGTAATGAGTGCAACCTTATGATGCGTGTTGGGATAATGAACATGTTGAACCACTCCATGTTTACGTTGCCCCAGAAACTGATAATACTGAATTGTGCTCATGCAATTATGAAAAATACAATAAAAATTGCATTCTCTAAATAAGTAGTTTATACAAAGGTAGCTTTGTTATGTTTGAAATGGTAAATTGAACTTGCATAAAAATGTATTAAACCTATTACGGTACTCCTTTATTCCCTTACAAAATATTTTCTGTTGTGTGAATATTAAAAAACTTCGCATCTGTATCTTTGTAATGATGTTGAACTATAAAAAATACAAATGATGATTCTAAGATGAAATTTTACAACTTCTAATTTTTGAAATCAGAACAAATATTAGTGGTAAATCGTTAATTAGACATTCTATGGGTCCTTCGGTAAAGCCACATCGAAACTAATAGTTGTGTGGAAACCCTCCCCGGAGAGGCGGTTAAATCTTGACTTAAAGCTTAATTAAACAATGAAATCTCATCATATCAACTAATACTGATTTTGTGTATATACTGTATGTAGAACTTCTTTCGCACCATGCGTAGCCAACCGTGCTAATTGGAGTTGCGGGCGAAGGATAACAAACTACACACACACAAGCGGTTACTTTAACCATTTTCATATTGATCTATTTTGGAAAAGGGTGACACTGGAACTTGTATGAGTTTGACATTTGCTATTGCTTAGTCGCGAAAGCCTACGTGTTAAACTGCTTAGAACATGTATTCATATATATCCTGGCTGTTTTATGTATATTGCACCAATAATCATTTGTACGATTGTGATGACAGCTCTGCTTATTTAAAAGAATGAGCAATTACCACATGGGTATTATACTCCTCCCATGAGCCATTTAAGGCACTACAACAATTGATCCATAAGGCAGCTCAAGAAAATATTCACATTAACACATTTGCTTTGATAGACCTAAGAGGTGTAGTATAGTGTTAATGAAAATACTGGCTGATTTACATTTTTGGAATTTGTAGTTTTAATAGTAAATATGCTAATATTAAAAGCAATGGCGAATATGCATGTAATCGTTCACTCCCCTCAGACAATAAAATGCAATTCATCAACTGCATTTTAGTATCAACTGGCTTTTGTGCTGATTTGCATTGTAGTTTTGTTTCCTCCATTATCCTAAACATGATTGCATGGTATTTGCATTTAATTTGCATAATCATGATTTTTACAAACATGATTATATGTACGTATTGGGAACTTAAGAAGCATTAATAATATAATAATTGAATGGATTTACTGTTTACGCATAATGGGCAGGGACTACAATATCACCAAAGATTGACCACGGTAAATGCTTTACTAAAAGGACATGGTCTCTAACAGTGGGGTTCCCAACCTGTGGTCAGTCCGATTACTGGTGGTCCGTAAGGTCATGCAATCTAGTCCTGTGGAACTGGTGTGGATACGATTTATTTTACAAAACACCCTGTTTTAACTGAATGGTGAATCCGCCATATTATTTAAAATGAACCCAGTTCCGTTGTGTTACTGCATGGTGTTTCTGTCGTTATCTCTAGATGATCACGAATCTGACTTTTTTCACTTACGGTAATGGATTGCATACACTGTATGTTGAACTTTTGCACCGTACGTAGGTCTATATTGCAATACACAACATCAGAAACTCACGTTTCTTTGAAATTATGCTCTTTGGAAACATTTTAAGGTATCTCTTCAAGGCAGAATGTCTTAATCAGCGTTGGACTGTATTTGGGTTACCATCTGTCCAGATTTGACCTGGACAGTCCGATAATTGGCATCGGTATTCTGGTGGCATGAATTAATTTGTACCGAACCTTGGTACTGGTATTGCTATATTGAACTTTGTTTCAGTACTGTAGACTGCAGTTCTGATAGACCTAAGGTGAGAAATGTATATACTTGGTCTGTGGAAAAAGTGGAAAACCTAGACTGCATGCATGTTAGTTAAATGTACCGTCATAAAGTATAAGCCAGATTAATGTTGGCAGTTGGATAATGCACAATCAGCTCCAAACACTCCACTGTATAGGGTGGTCCAGATGTCTTGTCACCCCCATTTAATGATCTAAACCGTAATATTTGAGTATACCAATGGGGTGCGTAAACAGAAATGAACAAGCAAAGAGAGAACAATGTTAATGGTCAATTATTGGCGGGGTCACAAGACATCTGGACGACCCTTGACATTATACCACCAAATTTTGATTTAAAGCTTTCGTGACTGCAGTAATTCATATTCTTAGTTTTTTTCGGTAAAGTCACGTTGAAGGGAAACAACAAAATAATAAAATATATATAAAACAATAAAAAATTCTCACGACGTTTCGACCATAACTCAAACGGTCGTCCTTCTGAAGAAAATTCTCACGACGTTTCGACCATAACTCAAACGGTCGTCTTTGTTGTTTCCCTTCAACGTGACTTTTACCGAAAAAACTAAGTATATGAATATTATACCACCACACAAGACTAACAACGTGTTGACTAAGCAGAGTGCCTTGTAAATTAATTAAATAAAAACTAATGTTACATGTATTTTAAAAATCGTTAAACTCCACTCCTGCCAACCAGATTCATACGAGGTTAGTCAATTTAACACGTAGGCTTTCGCGACCAACATTCATCATGAATTATTTTGGGGGGTTAGTTAGCGTAAGTAGGAAACGGGAAAACTTCTTAACAATTCTGGCAAAAAATTGCCCGATTAAGCTGGTTGTAATCACCACCGAAACGTCGTACTCAAATTGTAAATGTGGATTTACTCTCCAAACACACTGGTGTTTCTGAAGTCACTAATTGCCACGTTTTTTGTTTATGTGGCAAACCTTACGAATTGACTGTCGGATGGTGGTGGGTTAACGACACAATTATATTCACCCGATCTAACCCCAACAAAAACAGATTTTGCACGGTTTATCTGAAGGGGGGATTCGAACCTTGGCTCACTGTCAGAGCAAATGACATGGTCGTCAATTATGACCCCTCTCTGCCAACCGTACGCGATGACGTCACCACGCACGGACTCCGCGTTGCGTAATGACGCCGCACGGCCGTAGCCCCGAACGAACTTCGTTGCGTAACGCGAGCGCGATGACGTCGCCCCCTTGCAACTGGCTCGGAGGTTAAAGGTGGAAGTTCCT